TTATGTTATTAGAATTAGAATTTGGTTGTTCCAATTTATTTTTGTATGAAATAAATTAATATTTAGGATTACAAATTTGTTCCTAATAATTAATATACTAATGTTAATACTAAATTTTGTAATTAATGAAATAATTCGTTGTTATGTATAAAATTTTTTTTGTAGAATTTGAATTCCCACTTAACATTGTGAAAACATATAGTTTATAATAATTATTGAAATTGATATGGTATGTTAGTTAATAATATTTTAAAACCCGGTGCATGTTGATCAAGTAGATATATGTGAAAACAAATAACTTACATATCATAGATATATATTAGTTGATTACTTTTCGGGAATAATATATCACGATAGCCGAGATCTACTACTTGAAATATATCTTAGTTGATTACTCTCATCCCAACTCATTTGTCAAACTCATTGAAATATATATGGTATGTTAGTTAATAATATTTTAAAATCCCATTAATGTCTATCATGTGAACATTTTTGAAAACAAAAACTCTTAACTTGCAAACTAACAATGCCAAGATATATAATAACTCGTGTCTACAATTTGGTTTATCAAATTTTCAAAACTCAATAACATACAAATTTATATCAATTAATCTATCTATACTTATATTAAAAGTTATACTATTTACTAAATGTAGTATGTAGAATAGTCAACTCTAATTAATGATTTGCTATTTTTATCAAGCATTTAATTAATGCATCTAATATTTTTGGTATGCAAATTAAATTAGCATTTAATTAGTTCCTAAAATATTGGGTATGCGATATTAATTTAGGAATATCCATGTAGTTCTTAAAATATTGGTATGCAATACGTAAAAGAAGATTTTTTAATTTTTTTAAATATAATATATTGCAACACGTAAAACTATTCCAGTTATTTTTTATTTTATTTTACATACAAAATCTAATCAATATTTAATGCGTCCTACAAAATTGAATTTAGTTTAATTATCCATACAATTGGTTAACTTTTTCAGTTGTACTTTTTTTATTTATTTATTTTACACTTTTAAATTAATGAAGGTCTCCGAAAATACCAAATCAAATGATTTATGAAAGTTTTTTTTTTTACAATTTTAAATCTATATAACCAGCTTAAAAAACTCATTGCATAGATATGGACGAGTTTAAAAAAATTTTATAACACATCTTATAAAATTCCATCTACACGAGTCAAAAAAATCACATCTCTCATCTATCGTAACAACTTTGAAGGTAAATAAATAAAAGTCTAATTACTACTATAAATTTATTATCTATATAGATTTTTTAAAAATCTAAATTTCACCTGTCTAATTACTAATATTTTATATACTTTTAAATATTATTTGTATAAATTTTTTACACATTTGCTCTCTCTCTCTCTCTCTCTCTCTATATATATATATATATATATATATATATATATATGGAGGTTAAATGAAGAATATTTAGACATATTTTCCTTACGGGTAGCTTAGAAAAATTTAGATAGCTTCAAACATTATTTGTGAATAATATAGAATATTTTAGATGCTTTTATAGATGTTATAAAATATTTTAAGTATTTTTAATATTTATATATCACACTTAAAAAGAATAATTTGCCAAAATAAAAACATTAAATACGCATTGTAAATGTTAATAGAAACATTTTTCAGTGTTCGTCTATGATTTTGTCAAAACGAATCTCATAAAATCGGTGAAGTCAAAATTTGTACGTAAAGTCTATCTATACTAAAAAGGAGGTAGATTCAAAATTCTTTATCTAATTTATTCTTTTCTTTATCTAATTCCTTCTTATTATCTAATTGTATAAAAATCTGTTTTGATTTTGTTCAATCCTCTAATTGTATTTGTATTATATCCCATCAAATCGGTTTAACAAAAAAAAATCTCATAACATCTGATAAGTAAAAAAAAGTACGTAAAATCTTTACTAAATAAAAAAGGCTTTATTTATTATCTCATTTATTATCTAATTGTATGGAAATATGTTCTGATTTTATAGTACGTACTACTAATTGTGCACCCGTGTTCAAGAGCTACTTAACGGGCAAGCTCTGTGGAAATAACTCATTTAGTGATTATGTCCCGTGCATACGGTATTATTTGTATTACACATACTAGAAAATTGTGCACCCCGTGCATCGCACGGACTCTATACTAATAAATGACCTTAAAATTGTGCACCCCGTGCATCACCCGTGTTCACATTTTGGCCTATCACAGGTCGCGTACTATATATATCCCGTACATTTTTCTTTGTTCATTTATATAATTATAAGACTTGATAAATGACCTTAATTTTGTGCACCCCGTGCATCGCACGGGATTTGTACTAGTAAAAGTGCAAAATACAAAATACTTTGAACATATTATAATAAGTTTCGGGTGCTCTTAACATTAAAATTAAGTTCAAGTGACAAAACTGTAATATAATAATCACATGGCTAGATTACATTTCAGAGTATATTGTAGAAACATGTTATTGCTTATGAAAGTTCCTGAGTTTAGGACTACTACGGTAATTAAAGTGCTCTGAAGAAAATGATATCTCCGAATGTCAGCAGAACATAAATTGTCTGTAATATTCAA